ACATCTGTCCCATCTCAACGCCAAGGTTGGGACGGCCCCGAAGCCTCTGATCGCCGCAGAAGTGGGTCTGGAGCGCCCTTGCACCCGCCGAGGAGAAACCACGGGCTTCCGGCTATATCTGCCAGGCAGTTGTCGCAGGGCGGGCCTAGAAGAGAAAGCTAGGGAAAGCGTCCAGAGTTACCATGGCGACGTGGCCCTGTCGCCAGCCCAGCAGTCAGCCCAGCAGCCGAAAGGAATCCGATGAAACTCTCCTGTCAGGGCCCCTGGTTTTTGCCGGCTCCTCGGAAAAGGACGTCAGCTTGGCCAAGCAGTTCTGGATGTCAGCGTCGCTGCATCCTCCCAACGAGTCGCAGCTGGTCCTGTCCAGAGACAGCAAGCAGCGCCTGCCGGTTGCCCGGCCCTCGAGGTGCAGCGCGACAGGTGAGTCGCTGCTGCCTGTGATGGCTTCTCCTTCCACAGTGCCCAACGCAGGGTACGCAGCGCGGCGGCGTAGCACTGGCCTGCTCGCTGAAAGGCCAGCTGTGGGAACCCGCGCTGCGGCCCCAGGAGGGTGCTCCCATAAAGATCGACGACACCCGAACCCAAGCCTGCGGCCCCCCAGTGGACTCTGACTCATACCCACCCTATCTATAGGACAGAGTGGACAAGCAGACCACCTCAGCTCTCTCCCACGGAGCTGCCGCTGGCTTCCAACTGCCATCCCTGATGGGGCAGGAAACCTTCCTTCATGGGGCAGTTCTAGGTCCGAGAGGGTCACCCAGATGCAGAGTGACCTGGAGGGAACCCAACCGCAAACAATGCTAAAATGCCACTCTTGCCTCAAATAGTTAAAACGCCAGGCAAAGATGTGCAGAAACCCTTCCCCACCAAAAAAGGATCCTTAGTGCCAGGGGGCTTCAGCGAGCTCGTGGAAGAATGAAATTTAGAGATCTTGGTTTTTTCCACTCCCACCCCCAGTATTTGGTTCGGTCTAAAAGGACATCCATGAAGCACCGAGAGGCAGGGATGGACCGGAGAACATTATGCTGAGTGAAATTTGCCAACCAGAAAAGGACAACGATGATATGAGACCACTGTTACAGGGGACAAAACAAGTTAAAGTTTTGTCCTTCATACCACTTGGGAGTTTGCCAAGGGGAGGCAGGGAGGACAAGGGGGAGGAAATAAAGTAATGTGTTAGACCCAGGAGGGGTGTTACTCAGGTGACCCACTAGACAGGAAACTACAGGAGGGAGAAATCAGGGAGCCGGCCACAGATAGACTCTTGGGGGGAGTTTATGAGTCATTTAAACTCTTGAATACAGTGGTTGATCTGAAACGTAACCCCCCATAATACCTCTTAGATTATGGCATCTTTTTGGCCAAACAATATAGAATAATCTGGAGGCATGTTATGTGTAGACTGAAATCATACTAAAAGAAAGGGTAGTTTATATAACCAAGTTCAAGCATGAACGCCCTCAAAGTTGAAGGCAGACTCTACATTAGGGCCCTCTAATGGCCATAATGAGGCGAGGCCTAGCTTATGAAATGGTTACTATGCAGTTGTTAGAGGTGTTTAAACAGCTTGTTCTTGAGTCACTGGACTGACAGGGCCCATAGAGGACTGAGTAGAACTGCCCCATGGGGTTTCTAAGGCTGTGCCTCTTCACTGGGACAGACAGCCTCGTCTTTCTCCCCTGAGCGAGCAGCTGGACCTTGTGGTTAGCAGCCAGCACTTCACATCTGCACTGCCAGGGCTCCTCCTTGACAGGTATAGAAAGTTCAAATTCTTTACTCTTGTCTTTTTCAATGATTACTTTCTGTTTATGTCTTTTAGAGAAATGCTACCAGCCATCTCCCCTTGAGAAACCCGGTAAGTATCAAGTTTTCTATCCATCAAGGACCCTGACTGAGGGTCTTCAGAAAGTAGGTAACATGTATAAGGATACACCTTTACATTCCAGAGTAAGAGCCTCAGTGGCTTGTTCCATCCTGCCTCAGAGACTTCTCTATTGATTCAGAGGGCAAGGCCTCAATTCCCATTAATGGGGGGGAGGGGGTGGAAAACAGGGGCACTATCATGGAGCCAATTCTGATGCAAATGGATCCTCACACATTGAATAGGAATGTGGAAATGCGATCTCCTTAGAGACCTTTCCTTATGTCTGGACTCAGGCTGACTCACCTTCTGGAGACGAGGTACCTTGTTGTTGTTGTTGTTGTTGTTGTTGTTAGGAGGTACCTTGTTGTTGTTTTTGTTGTTGTTGTTGTTGTTTGGTGCCCTCAATTCCATTTGGACCCATAGCAACCCTATGCACAACAGAAGGAAACACTGCCCGGCCTTTCACCAACCTCACAACTCCTCCTGTGCCTGAGCCCATTGCTACAATCATGGTCGTTCATCTCCTGGAGGGCCTTCCTCTTTCTTGCTGTTCCTGCAGCCTTAGCTAATTCATTCCACCACCAGTTCCTTGTGAATCTGGTTTGTAAATTTTCAAGGCAAAGTATATTTTAAGGCAAAGTGTTTGCTCTCTTGGTCTTGACTTCGTCTTTATTTCTTTGACAAGATACAGAAGCTGAGAAAGTCCTAAAGATTCGAGAATCAGAGGAGAAACTAAAGTATCTTCAAAAGGTAGGCCAATATTGCAGAAGATCTTCTGTCTGACTTTCATAAAATTTCCTAAAGGGTCCCAATTCTACACCTTAGTCCTTAAAAGGAGGGCTTCCAAAAGTTCTTGGAAAACTAGAATTAAAAGATAGTGTGCTTTTTCTATAAATGTTTTGAAGCTCCCTTCATATGTATAGGAAACCTTTCTACTTCTAATGCATCAGCTTGAGCAATGAGTAAAACCTTTATTAGAATTTAATAAACCAATTTCTGTCACCGATTTATAGGTTTTCATTAGGAGAGTAATTCTAAATGAGAGAGTAATTCTAAACTAATACTTAGATTATTGGCTATAATGGTATCAATCATTAGGAAATAAACTATAAATTTATGCTTTCAGACTTACGTTGTCATTGCATGCTATCAAGTTGATTCACATTCATAGCGATGGTATACAAAACCCAATCCAAAGGCATCAGGTCAGTTACAACTCATAGTGACCATAGATAGATTTCCAAGGCATTTAAATCTTTACAGGAGCAGACAGCCTCATCTTTCTCCTGCAGACTGGTTGGTGAGTTTGAACCACTACCCTCAAAATTAGCAGTCTAATGCCCAACAGCACCACCAGAACGCTACAAGACAACGTAAAACCTAAGGTTTCCTAGGCTGTAATTTGTATAGTTACTTTTCTCTAGCAAAGCCCTCCTTTTGGTTAGCAGACAAGCACTTAAGCACTGCACCACCAGCATTCCTTTAAATAGTGATAAACACACATACACACACATAAATAAATAACCACTGCTGTGGGGTCTATTCTGACTCCGGCAACTTTACAGGACAGAGTAGACCTGTTCCATGGGGGTTCTGAAACTATCTAGCTAAACAAAATCCGACTGCCTCATCTTTCTTCTGCACAGTGACTGGTGGGTTTGAACTACCTTTCTATTAGCAGCCCAATATTTAACCCACTGCATCACCAGTGTTCTTTTAAATAACTATAGAGTAGTGAAACAATAAATTAGCTACAGCAAACACATTATTGAGTTGGTAACCAAATCAGTACAACCTTGCTGGTTAATTTACTGAGGATCTTGTCTGTGATGATTTTTATATATATATATAAATCTATCTGCTGGGAAGGAGCACAGTATTTAGAATTTTAAATGCTAGATTTGAATCGCAACTCTTTTAATTACTTCTAATTACTGGTTCACTCTGCTTCAGTTTCTTCTACTTTAAAATGAGCCTATGATGTGCCAGCAGTTATGCTCAAGACCTTATGGGAATCAAATGTGTATTTTGGGGGAAATGCCCTTATCTTTCCTCCCCATTTTTCCATGAATTTTGGAAGCCCGCTCTGTTAATAATGTTACTGAAAGTATTCCGACTCAAAATGTCAGGAATCAAGTCAACCTGCTGGTTTCTGGCAATAGATGAATATTCCAGGTTTTGTCTGGTTTCATATAGACACTGAGGATGTCCCATGGCCTCAGGATGTCAGTTGTAATCCTGTGGGAACATTCGCTAACCCATCAACTCTCTGCACACAGGAAACGCAGTTAGCCCAAAGCAGGAGTCCTCAAACTTTTTAAATGGGGCCAGTTCACTGTCCCTCAGACCCGTTGGAGGGCCGGAGTGTAGTTTAAATAAAAACTATGAACAAATTTCTATGCACACTGCACATTTCTTATTTTGAAGTAAAAAAACAATGGGGCAAAAACACCCGGCGGCAGGATAAATGTCCTCAGCGGGCCGCATGTGGCCCGTGGGCCGTAGTTTGAGGACTCCTGGCCCAAAGGGTTCTGCGACCTCCTGTGAGCTAGTGCCAGTTGTCCTTTAGGTCCATGGCTCTTTGGAGATGGCTAAGCAGGAGGGGCTTCAGTGAAGGTTCAGGTACTGGCTCTTCTCATCTTCACGAAAGCTCAAGAATTCATAGGAACAGCAGGATCAGAATGAAACAGGGACAGTCACAGGCTTTCTCACCTGCCAAGCCCCCCCATCCCAAAAATAAAACAAAACAAGATAGGGTTGATTATCAGAAGAGGGCAAATTTGAATGTTCCGAGTCTGTCATCTGGAGCCATTTTGACGAAAGGCTGAAAACAAACATTTGCGTGTAGCCAAGCTAACCGAACACATCTCTTTTTTGGCAACCTCTTTTATTCGTTTTTCCTGATGTAGGCAAAGCCTTTAAACTCAACAATTAATACAGTGATTTATAGAAACATTCCGCTTGGTTAATGGATAAAGCCCATTCCTATAACTGTTCCTGTACCTAAAAGCAAAGATGAAGACAAGCTTCGCCCTAATGTCTTTAATCACGGGGCATATTGGCAAGCTCTGAAAGGCGTTATCGGGAATTCTACATAAATTACACAACAGCGCATTTGCATTTGCTGATCACACTAATTCATTTTGGGTACTACAAATTAGGTGATTTGAAACATGAGTCAGCATTTTCACCCTTCTTTAGGATATTGTGTACTTGTGTACTTGAACCAGGACTTTTTTGGAGGAGGGAAAGACTCATTTTCAATTAATTAAAAAATCATTGAAAGTTGACTTTGATAGTACTTTCAAAGTTTAGTTTCCAGCTTATCTGGAAGGGAATGGAGATTTAAAGGGACTAGAAGACATTAAAGACTAAAACAATTCGTTTTACACCAATGGTTTGTCAGTAAGACAATATGCTGTGAGTTACAGGCTGGTGTCTTGCTAATGTCTAGTAATCTAATTTCTTTTCCTCAGTTCTTCTATTCAATTATTTTTTATCAACTTAATTCCAAGATATTTGTAGATACCTACTGTGTACCTAGCACTACATGTTGGGGAAACAAAAATAAGATGTGGTACCTGATTCAGGCATTTTACAATCTGGTAAGACATCAGAATCAAGCTTAGAGCGCCAAGAAGTGTTTTCAAAGGAGCTGAGCTTTGAAGGATGTGCAGATTGGTCGAAGAGTATGCAAAGCAGTTCTCTATATTGTATGGGTTATCTTCCTAACATCCAAGTCTGTTTCTCTCCTACTTTCATTATTTTTCCATGATTCCCCATTGTCCCGAAGGATCAAGTCCAAACTTCTCTGGATTGCGTGGCATTGAAGTTCCTTTATGAGCTGACCGTCTTCTTGACCTCTTGGTGCTCTCCTCTTCTTCCACGTCTCCTTCCTTATCCCCAACATAGGATACGATGCTCCGCTCATTCTCAACCACTAGGTCAAGACATGCTGTGTTTCTCTCCACACGTGCTACAGAAGTGAGGAGTGGATAAAATATCTTTGTGCATGCTTAAACATAGACATTCCTCTGTGATATCTGCCAAAGTGTACATTAAGCCCTTTGAGCCCTATAAATTGGTCCTGGATTGCAGGATAGGAAGAGATTCTATTTGTTGACAGAAGATTCTTTGAGAAGACAAAACAGCAAGTCAGCAGAAAAGAACGAGAATGTTTCTGAAACTCTGCCTTGGGAGTAGGAGAGGCAACCAAGAGAACCTTGCAGTAACTGAATGTTCTAACAGACATTCGGAGACAGGGTTTTAATGCAGTATTCATATTATCTCATTATGGAGTACATAGCATGTATACAACGTAATAATGGCATTTTCTTCCCTCTTTAGGATAATATTTACTGTATATTTGTACCAGGACTTTCCACAAGAAGGAAAATCATAATTTTCAATGAATTAAAAATGATTACACATTCACTTTAAAGATTAAAAACCATTGATCAAAGCATCATAAAAAGTATCAACTCATATAGTCTTTAAAATAACTCCAGGATGATTACTCTCATTTTACCAAACAAGACTTGAATGATTTTCCAAATTCAAACCGCAATAACCAAACTCCAAAGCACATGTGATTAACCCTATAATAGACCGACTAACCCTATTTTAATCCCTTCAGGAATACAGCCAAATATCCCACACAGTAAAGGATATGACAATTATTACAAACCTACTTCTGGGAGCTGTTTCTTCAACAGCCAATGTATTTCCATGTCTATACCTAAATTCTCACGTTTTGGGCTGCAATCCAAAAGGTCAGCAGTTTGAAACCACCAGCCCCTCTGAAGGAGAAAGAGCTTTCTATACTTACTTAAAGAGTTACAGTATCAAAAAATTCACAGGAGGCAGATCTATCCTATCCTATAGGGTTGCTGTGAGTAAACATCGACTGGATG